GCACTCTCTTATTGAGATGTATATGCAAATTTCTTTCTTCACATTGAGCTATTGAAAAGTCAGATAAGATATTTTGAGGGGCCATTGGACAACACACAATTGGCTTTTTGGGCAATGGTTATTCAGGTGAAATCGGAGGCCATCATTATGCTTTGCAATAATATTGAACAGGTCGGTATTTTGTGAGCAGGATAACAATTAATTGTCGGACATATTACATCTAAATAAAGAGCTTTGATACTTTTTTGTGGAGTCATACATAAATCGACATATTCGCATTTAAGCGTTCAACACGTAAAATACTGCACATTTGAATTTCAGGGTAAGTTTAAGTGCTCACAATACTATCCGCGTGAAAAGGGAGAAACAATGACATTTGGAGAAGGACCGGGAAAGATAGTCGTGACCAATCTGGATGTCTGTTAATCTGTTCATTAACAAGATGCATCCCCCAGTCCACTTATAGGTCCAACCTATGTCAGAAGAAGATAATTTTGTGAGAATATGCCGTCTAAAGATAGATTACCAAAAAGATGGCAAAGAAGAAAGTTCGAATGTTAAGCACATCCAGTGGGAAAATTGGCCAGATAGAGGAGTTCCACCAACAAAACTTACGGCTACGGTATGCAAAGTCTTTTCTAATGGTCGTTTGTCAAAGCGTATTCTGCAGAACATCTTGAGTGAAGTACGGGGAACGACGAAACCAATCATTGTGCACTGTTCAGCGGGTATTGGTAGAACAGGAACAATCGTAGCCATCGCATACGTGCAAGAGAAGATGCAACATGGGGTAACGCTTGCGTCTTTCAAAGAGAACGTTACGACTGAAATTTTTGTGTAAGATTGATTGAAATCCTTGCAAAGCGATATCGGGCTATAGTCTAATTTTAATGTGTCGCCCAGCTCTAATTCCTTTCTAACTTCTTGTACCACCTAACTCGTCCCATTTTGCATAAGCTGAGACCCTTGAACACCACAAGCTTGCAGGAAAAATGCCTGCTTTCCTTTCAAATCATTATTGCAGGACAATGGCGCGAAGCAGTATAACTTGAGCGGGCGCACGCGGCGTGCGCGTATGTTCACTCTTGCAAACCGTACGCCTCA